AGTTCAAAAAAGACTTACCAGAGGGTCCAGTAGGTCAGTCGTTTATTATTTTTTTCCTTTGCTAGTTTTTCCCTTTAAAACACAGCATATTTTTTTCTGGATCAGAAATGCTCTTCGAAGGCTAAAGAATTTGAGTATGCATTGATTCTTCTTTTCTTATATCTTATAGTTTGTGTTCTAATATATTAGAGCTGTAAAAGAAACAAATGTTGAAACAGTGTAAATTAATAACTGTGCTGGGCAGGTAATTTCAGTCTTGTCAAACGCGAACTGAGACAATTAGTGCTGCTGATACGATGCTGCTTATTACTTAACGTTGTTGTGCGCATGTATAAAAATACAGTGGCAGGGAAAAGATCCCCTGTAATGATTTGCAGCTTGTCTTCCTGTGGATCGCAGTGTATCAGTTAGCCACTTGTTTGCAGGTAACTAAGTGAAAAAAAAATTACCCTGTTTGCTTCCCCCCTTCTTAATTCTATTTTGCAAATATATGGGTGAATTTGCAAGAGAAAAGAAATGTAAAAGTTTCCTTCTCGACTATAATCGTGGCTCTTCATCAGTCATCACTCTTCCTGCATTTTGTTCAAGAGGCTCTAATTGTCTGCATTTGGCAGGTTTAACACTTCCTGACAGAGAGGCTATTAAGGGGAAGTATTCTCGCATAACTGTCACGGGCAGGAACAAAGAACCTTCAAACTCAATGTGTGGAAACCACTAACATTCTTAAATGACCCTTTTCATGCATTTTATCCCTTTAAGCTAAAATTTGGAGAGTGCAGGGTCATGGAAAGCAGTAAGGTGTAATAAAACAGTAAACCCTGAGTTTTTGGAGGGTTTTTTTTTGGGGGGGCGAGTTTTTTTGCTAGATTTATCTCTTGACTTAAAAACAATTGTTATTTGGAAAAATCTCATTAACAGATGTGACTGGAGTAAAAATACTTAAAACTGATGTTGCTTTCAGGACTGCTTTGAACTTAACAAGCACCGATTTGTGGAGCAGACTAGCTAATGAAAGGAAATTAAATTTTCTGACAACTTCCCCTGCCAGCCCCCTTATTCTTCATGGGGCTGTTACTAGGTACTGAAGACTTTTAAAGAGGATTTTGTTTTATTATCGGACATAAATGAACCAGGTATGAACATTTCTTATGTATTTTTTTTAAAAGTTCTGACCTGGGTGCTTTTAAAACGGATTGCCTTGAAAGCTTTAAAAATATCAGGTTTCCGTTTAATGTTCATAAGTCAGCCCCCATCGTTTCAGACACAGTTAGCAGCTGGTGGTTTCCAGACATTACTGCCTTCCATACAAATTTTTTAATGCATGTCATGGGATAGTACAAATATTAGCAAATTTGGACGGAATTTTCAAACTTAACCTGCACCACTGTAATTTAACCCTTTTTCTTTCTGGTTTTGTATAATGGAAATAAATTGTTATCAGTAGAAGAAACCAGAATTAACTACTGCAGGAGAAGCGATTTGATTATTAAAAAGTAAGCAATTCAAGTATTTTGGTTTTTATTCTCGGAATTTCTCAGTGTATTTTTCTGTACCAGGCTACAGTGGTACAAGACAGCTGAAGCTATAGGAGGCATCAACAAAAGGATTTTTCAAGTTGTCATATGCTAGTAACGTGCCGACTCTTAAATGGAAACGATTATGAGAACCTTCTACTTTCAGATGTAGTTTAAAATGATAGATTTAAGGTTTATTCTGTCTTCAGAATGCAACACTTACAAAATTGAAATGCTTGTGTTCTTTCTTCAGTAAACAAACCCCATTTGTCTTCAAAGTTCTGCAAGGTTTTTTTTTTTTCCTGAACTTGAATTACTCCCAAACAATAGAGAATCAACTCCCCCTACTGACAGCAAGCGGGAAGACACGAGGAATACCTGCGAGGACAGAAACTAGCTGGTAGTGGACAAACTTTAACGAGCTGATTTACGGTCCATTATTGATTGTAAACTTCTAAATTCTAGCATTAAATTCCTACAACTGCAGAAAATCATTTTGCGATCCTGGTTGTGTTTCCTGTCAGCTGATTCCTCATTGCTTTGAGTTTCTCAGTATACTAATGATGAGGTAGAATTTACATTCCACTTATGGTATTAATTTTACATTCCTCTGGCTGAAAAGGGTCAGAAGGTTGTAAAATCAAACATTAAATGAATCGGAGGAGACAGTAGTGCAATATATGACTGCCCTCAGGACACAGTGCAGTGGCTGATGGGATTAACGTTGGGTCTCATTTCCTGCTTTTACAGGATGCAGATGAAGCTGTCAGAATTGCAAGGGAAATTGGTAAGTTCTTAAATTAGCTATGGTGGGATTTGTGTGCCTCTCAGCAGACATGGTTGACTAAATTGAATGTGTAATAAGTAATCCCTATAGAACAAATAGTGTTTTAATAGTTTTTAAGTTCCTTCTTGCCTGTAGGGTTGGAAGAATCTAGGCATTAACGCCCCATCTCCTAAGTCATCACACTTTAGCTTTTTAAACTGGGCTTTACAGAACTAGTGCAGCCACGATGTGTGGAATGCATATGTAATATGCAGTAATGAGTAGCTCACTAAAGGAGTTATTTCACAGTATATCTGCAATTGGACATGATAGTCAGAAGTTAGGCATGGTGCATTCCTCTTTATGTAGAGGCTGACACCAGTGATGTTATGGTCTTCGTTCTTCATCACTGTGTGGACTGCAGGTAGTTTGAATATCATCCAAAGCACTGGCCTTTCTTCTGTGCTGTCTGGAATTAAGTCACTATTCAGCTTCTGAACATCTTACAGAATGGTAATAAGAGCAACCAGCAAACTGGGACTCATTTTGATGAAGGTTAAGTGTAACATGCGTTTAATGAGTTTTGGCTTTTATTTACTAAAGCTTAATGTTAGGGAAAATACTAAACCATATGCTTGAAATTACACATGTTCTTAAACACTTTCTAGAAGAAGAATCTAATGCAGTAAGATTTTTCTGATTTTTTTTTTTTTTATTTTTCTTTCATTTTCACTTTGAGACAGTAACCATGAGAAGCTATTTGGGTTTATCACAGGTTCATAATTCAAAGGTTGTATCTGCATTTGAAGCTTCTCTTGCTGATCTAGCTGCAGATATATTTCAGCCATGTCAAAAGCTATGGCTGTGCCTTATGTGCCAGAAATAAAGTGGAACTTGCACTGCTGCAGATAACTTTTCATCAGTGTAGCATTTTTCCACTTTAAGTTGGAGCTTCTATCCTGCACTGGCTAACTGCCCTGAAACCCCTCAGTGTAGGCTTTTCTGACTTTTAGGCTGACACAATGTAAGTCAGTGTTTCTATGGGTCAGCCTTTGTGTCCTTGTTGGGAAATCAAGTGATCACTGATCACTGTCGTGGGAGCAGAAACAAAAGGAAGAGCTTATCAATCAAATTGGAACATTCAGAAGAGAACTGTACATAAAACTGGGTTTAGTCCTGAATAAAGGCTTAGTATTATGACTTCAGTTTCTCTTCAACAGTCTTTCTTGCTCTTGTGTTGAAAAAATTTCCTGCAAGTATTTTTAAAGCAGTTTTGATGAATGTAAGTCAGAAGGCACGCAGTGGCTTGCTAGACACCCTTTGAAATGTATTCTTGTTTAATTTTCTTCTGAGTTCTTCTAGTGTTCTGTTGACTTGTTCCTGTCTTTGAGATCAGTAGCACTTTGGAGGTCATTATATCAAGGCAGTCTTAACTATGTGATATTAAAGTCAATTACAGGCAGCTGGGTGGTGCTTTATCTAGATGGAAAATTCTTGCACTGTTTTGATACAAGAACAGTTTGTACTATGATGCCATGAAGTGAAAAAAAATGTCCTTTCTAGCTTTTTTCCCCACCCATGTTTTGACCAGTTGATTAGTTTGGTTAAACTTCTGTCTAATTGTGCCCATTGATCGGAATAAAAGTAGTGATTTGAATTTCAAAGTATCTAAATTAAGATAAAATTACACTCTCTTGTATATATGAAGCATTTGTCCTTGTGTATAAAGCACTTGATGTGCAATGGGATACTTTCAGATTGTTTTTAATTTCACTTATCAAGAGTCTCAGTCTTCCAAGAAAGCTTAAGTAATTATTAAAAAAATAGGTATTAAAAATAGATCCACAACTGTGGATCAGGGCTTAAAATGGTAAAACACTATGTAGTGCTCTCGTACTGCCTGTGCTTTTTTCCTGCTTCTCCATGCTGTGTTTGGGCCAAATACCCAGTAGTAGTGCAGCATGGCACTTCAGGGTTGAGAATACTGCCTCTACCTGTTTCACTGACTATTACCTGTGAGCACAAATTTTCTAAATATGGGAGTAAAACCTTCTTTTTGCCCCTGATTTGAGATGTGCTTTCCTGAGTTGTCAAGAGGAAATGTGACAGATATTAGGCTAAATCGGGAACTGGAAGAAGTTCAGGCACAAATTGCTGTATAGACTCCTTTCTACAGTCTCCCTTCTCTATTTATTGGTGTGGGCTGTTCTTCTCTTGTGATCCTTTCTGTGGTACTTAATTACATCAGCTCTTTTCCTGTGCTGCTTTTAGGTCTGTTTGTAACATTGTACATTAAGAGCTGCTGAATTCTTGATTCCTGAAGCATTGATGAAAATCCAGAAAGTTTTACTCTTGTTTGAAAAGGTTGAACTACTCTGAAATACAGTCAATTAAACTAAATGAAAGTCTATACAAAACTGAAGAGGTGAAATAGATCATTTTTGTTGTGTTTCAGTTGACACGGGTGCAGTTAGTGCTCTTCAGTAATGGGTGTTGAAAGGAATCTGGTATTGCCACACAATATTGTGCGATCTGATATTGCACAATGCATCCCGTGATCTGCTACCTGGAACTTCATAAAAATGGTTAAGTGACATCTAAAACCATGATGCAAAGGGCAGGAACTAACAGCTGTGGGACACCAGCAGTTTGTTTACTCCTTTTACCATTCAGATTCTCACAATAGTAACTGCCCTGAAAACAAAGCAGTCCTAACTTAATAGTACCTATTTAGCAGTGAAAGTATGCCCAACCATCTTCAAATTTGACAGTTTTTTACCCTCTTGTCTTCTAAGATCTTCAGACCCATCCTTCAGATACATCACCAGCGTGTAAAACTGTAGAGCACGATTAGATTTTTATTCTCGCAGGCAATTTTAATTTCATGTAAATTGGCATGTAATTTGAGGGAAGGATTGAATACCAGACATCTACTCAAAAATGTCTGCTTTGTGTGAGACTCCTCATGGCTGTTGTTGTGGGTACTTTTAAATGTTGTTAGAAATTGTTTGCATGCCTCTCCTTTCCCACAACTAATCCAACCAATCCATGTGAACATACTTTAGCAATTTTGCTTGCTGTTGAACAATACAAAAGTGGTTAGGACAATGATGAGTAATGCATCCTCATCCCAGCATCCTGTATCCAATGTGTATGCAAAACTTAAATTTTGCAAAGCCTTCCTTGTCTCAGCATGCGTCAGTCTTTGGTATTGGCTGGAGAGCTGCTCTTCAGCTTAGCTCAGTGCCTCTGAGAGCAAGGAGGATGTTAAGGCATATTTGAACAGAAGTTCAAGTACCTTTACTTTCAGGGCACTGGCTAATTTACACGCTAACTTGTAGAGGTCTGTTGCAATTTTTCCTTCTCAACCTAAAAAGCTATATGTATGTTTTCAAAACAGGCCTTGCTTTTTATTTATTTTGAAATTTATTTTATTTTTAATTATATTGTGACTTTCTGGAATCTCTGTCTTGCATACAAGTGTGTTTGACAGGTAATCACTATACATCAAAGGCAGGAGAGAGGGGAAGCCAAGTGATCCTACACTTGGTGAGTGATACTAGTAACTTATGTATCCTGTCTGATAATTTAACCATGTGAGCTGTGATATATGAACTACATTCTGTAGTATATAAAGACTCACCTAGGCTCACTGCCAACATGCCTGTTCTGCTTTTGAAACTAAGGAACAGTAAATTAGGACTAGACTCTGCTTGTAGAATTAAAATCAGCAAAGCATTCAGGAGACTGATATTGTTAGACTGAAACTGTTAGCATAATTGATGATGATTTTTTCAAGTACATGAAACACTGAGTAAGATAGATTAGGTGATGGAAATTGCCATAATGAGTTTGTCATAATAAGGCTTCAAACAGTACTTGTTTCATTATTTCAGTCTTGCAGCCTCTTGAATAGGACAATCTCCAGGTGGTGATAGTGTTGCCAGAGGTTTAAATTTGCTAGTGTTACCTGGTTAAATCTCATTTCTTGTGGGGAAAGTCATACAAGATGGACTTTTTGTGGTTTTTTTCAAGATAGTCAGTGACTTGTGTAGGAGCCTGGCAGCTGTCAGGGATCTGGCAAAACAGCTTACAGCATCAATGAATTGCACTTGTGCAGATACTGCATATTCTGCATTTCATGGAGATTAGTTGAACATCACTGCTGCTGCATGCAGTCTGGAGTTATTTTGACTTCACCCTTTAATCTCTGGGATTGTAGAGGCCTTGAAAATATTTACAGTTCTGGATCAAATCCATTGTTACTCCATGACACCCCATTCCCCTCTATGAGCAGCATCAGGTAGTTCACAGGAAAATGTGACTCCAGGAGGGTTATTTGCATGGCTCTGTTTGCTCTTAACCCTTACACCTAGTAACAAGGGATTGCTTTAGATTCCAAAGTATGAAGATTCATAGCCTTTTGGTCACCCATGCCTGTAGAAACTTGGTTTGTGCTCAACATATGCTTGACTATTACCTCTCTAGAGCTTTCAGCCGCATGAATGCTTTACAGCATGGGGTTTCACAGTCTAATAATGTGTTATGTTGGAAACTATTGATTTTTTTTCCCGTTTCTTTGTTAATTTAATGTTCTCTTGTGCCGTTGCTGCTTTCCTGCCTTCCAATCAACACTACTGTGTCATATGCTTGTATTATGCCTTTCTTTGGTGTCCATTTCAGTCTTCTTAAGGAAAAGGTTTTCCAGAGCTTGCTGGTTTTAATTATCTTTGCCTGAATCTCCTTTCAGTTAGATGACTTGGAGGAGGTGGTGTTGTGTTGTATTGCTGTCACTTGACAGAGCAAGAGTAGATCTACATACCAGAAAGAAACTATAAGCATCAGTTACACATATGATGGCAGACTCGACCACTTCTACTAGGAAACATGTTCAAATATGCCTTTCTGTCTCCAGATCAAAACCCTTTACAGAATGTATCTTCAATTTTCAAGGACTGATACACTCTTCTTGCCAGACAGTATCTGATAGTTGCCTTACTGTTGTGACTTTCATTAAACACACTGGAGACCAAAGGTATAAATAATTTTCTGCTGTCCTAGAACATCAAAAACTTTTTACTCAGATCCTTAATTTTCAGTTTTCTGTGTTCATGTGGAGAAAGGTGAAGTTCTCTGATATGAAGAAATTATTTTAGGAAGTTGCTTTGAATGAATGTACTAGAAGATAAACAATCATTACTAAATCTGCATTTGCTGTGTACTTTGTTACTGTACTTTTCTAGCTTTCAGAAAACTAAGGTCCTGACTCACATTCATATTATGGTATCTTGTTCTGAGAGTAAAATATTACCAATTATGTACAATGCTGTCAGATTTATACTGCTCATTTTTTCTTACTACTTGTCAGTTTGGGGAAAACGTTTTTATTGTAAAAGAAAAAGTAATCTGTTTTCTGTGGTACTATTGCATAATATCTAAGCAGCACAGTTCTTGAGGTGCTCTGATATTCAAATGTACTGCACCAGGAGTGTTGATAAGATACAGATTTGCTTATTCAATCTCTTGACTAGTAATTTATGAAGATCTGCTTATTTTTGCTATTTATTTTTTTAAAAATTTTATTGCAGCATATTTCAGCAGTAACAAAGGAACAAAACTTTGTTTCTAAAGAAATGTGAGCTTTAAAAGGTCAAATGCCTTATTCATAAATCACTTTGTTACTTGGGAATAATTCATTCAGTGTTTTTTGGTATATATGAATTGGAGAAAGACAACCTTTCCTGGCTATAGAAGTTACTACACTGACAGCACAGTTTTGAAAAGAAAAATCTCTCCTCTGCTCTCCCTCTAAACAAAGTGTTTTAATAAGTGAAGTTATTGTCTACTGGCTTTATTGGACATGTGGTCAGTTGTCATGTTCCTCTGACCAACTGAACAAAGTTTGAACTTCTGTCTAATTGTTCCCCGCTGTTAGGCTACCCTGTCATGATCAAGGCCTCAGCAGGTGGTGGTGGGAAAGGCATGAGAATCGCTTGGGATGATGAAGAGACCAGGTGAGATGCTGTCCAAAAGCTTGCCTTGATGAATGCTGCCGTTACCAAAGCCCCATTAAGCCACTGTGAGCTGACAGTTGAGCAGATATGAAATGTTAGACAGAGAAATTGGATATTATTTGGTTTGCTCCCTTTCACATAGAGAGTGTTACTTGGGAAGTTTGCATGTGCCTAGTTTGCATTAATTTTTGCATAAACCTTACAAAATATAGTCCATTAGTTTGAGTAAAAAACCACCTCTTACAACTGCCTTTAGTCTGATGTTAGATTGTAAATTTAGAGTGTAAATACCATTTTGCTGTGTGCCTTTCAGAATGCTGATTTATTAATTGTCTCTGTGTTAGGCAGAACATTTATTTGCCCTGATTCACAAACGTTATTGCATGCCATTAGTCCTGTTAAAGTTGATGAGACTGATTATTCATGTGTGGAAACACATACGGTGTTACCAGAATGTGCTCTAATAAATTGCATACTTCTGTATTTAAAATATTTGTCTCAGCAAACTGTTGTGCTTTTGTCTGTTTTCAAACAACATTTGTTTAAACACACAGGCGTTTCCATGTCTCTTGGCCGTTGTCTAAATCCTGAACACTTCATGATGCTTTGTCTTCGTCTCAATGTTTTACAGTCCATTCTTGGCTGATATTCTGGCAGTGAGGAGCCTAGTTTCAACTCTGTGTGCCACTGATGTTACAGAAAAATGTATTTTCTGTTTTTTCAAAGTCTTATAATGAAAAGCCTATTTGTTCCAAAATAACCTACTCAGTGTTTTCCTTTCCACATGGAGGGAGCAGCACATGTGCTGCAATCAACTCAGTCCGACTCTAATTTTCATTAGTTTAATTGAGTCACCTGCAAGATTTCCCTATCATTTTTCTGCCCCCTATAAAGTTTTTGTTTGCCAAAACCTAAAAACTGGGTAAAAGAGCAGTGAATGGCTAGCAGTTAAATTTTAGATTTAAAGAGAAGTGGTGGGGGTTTTGTTTTCTTTTTTTGTACCTTGCCGCATCTAGTCCATTTGTATTAAAATCTAAATAGGAAATTTAAGGTTTTGTGCATTAGAATGAAGGTCTAGAATAACCTGCTTTCTTACAAGGATGCTTTGTTCCTACTGCTTTAGAATCCAAAATTGCTGCCTTGGTCTTGTTCAGGCAGCAGTTGCATCTGTTGGAATTGAAAGAAAGGTATTTGTTTCTTACGTTTCTCAGAAAGGAGCAAAGGAGCTCAATTAAAATAATTGTTTTAAAATAAAAGTGGATCTAAAATCATGATTGCTAATTTGTTTTGGAGAAAAGTTGTGGTTAGTCTTTAGAAAGTCACCTGGCAGAGCTGATTGGTATCAATAGAAACTAGCTAGGGATGCTCTTCTGTGGGCATTTGCACATCACTGAATTAACTTACTGATATTACTTTGACTCAATCATATTTGATAATGATAATTTGAGATGCTTGCCTTGTTTGTAGAAAGCCTTTGAATCATAGAATATCCTGAGTTGGAAGGGACCAACAGGGGTCATTGAGTCCAGCTCCATTCTGAAGTACCGTTCAGCTCGTTATTATTTGCCAGTTGTGTCCTTATAATAGTCCTCCTGGTTGGTTATTCAGATCCTGTCTGTATAGTGTAATTTTAGTGTAGTATATAAAAGGTGCTAAGAGAAAAAAAGAACTAGGCAGGTCACAGATCAACAGTATTTACTGATCCTATATCAGGGAGAAATGGTTATCTTAAAATTTATGGGTAGGCAAAATTAAGTTGACAAAATACTGGCTGCAGCAAGATAAAAGTGAGATTAAGAGAAGGTGAAGACAAGCAGATTGATTTACGTTAAAAACCCGTTTGCAGACCAAGTAGAGCATTTGGGTTACTCTTACAGTCTGTCTTGAACTGTCTATGAGGTTGTAAAAGATTTGATGTACATGTCCATTAGTTGTGTTATGGAACTAAGATTATTCCTTTTTATGTGCATCTGAAAGTTTTAATATTGCATAAAAAGTCATTGATCTCATGTGTAATCTTGCTGCATCCAGATCCATGTAATCCTGAGAATAAACCACTTTTCAGCTATGGGCAGATTCTGCAAAGCTATATCTGAATGGCCTTTTGCATTTCAGGGTTAATTTCGCATTTCAAGGTGAGTGTGAAGAGTGGCTGGTAATATTTTGCTTTGTAAACTTGTTTTGGCTTTGTCTCCTGGGATTAATTTCACATACTACACGAAAACAGAAGGCCTTTATAAAGGATCATGGAATACCTTAAGTTGGAAGAGACCCACAAGGATTGTTGGGCCTGCACAGGACGACCCCAGGAAACACACCATGTATCTGGGAGCTTTGTCCAAATGCTTCTAGAACTCTGTCAGACTTGGTGTTATGACCACTTCTCTGGGGAGCTGTTCCAGTGCCCAACCACCCTCTGGGTCAAGAACTTTTTCCCTGTTTGAAACATATTTTTGGATTTTCAGGATATTTGAAAATCTTTCTTGTTTCAACTAGCAATGTGTACTATAAGGCAGCTTAAATGTGTGTGTAGTGTGACATGGAAATAGCCACAGGAAGTGGAAAAGACCAATCTGAGCAACTTAATTGCCACTGTTACAGAATTATTCACTCTAGTAACTTACTGGTGATTCATTTTTCACATCCTTTAACTATGCTAAATGATAATTGTTTTAGATCCTCTATAATAATTACATTGTTCAGACTATAGCTAATATTTCTGTTAACTTTTAACTAATACTTCTAATAGAAATGCTGGAATAGTTTTACCACTGTTAGTTACTTTGTTTCCTTGAAATAGCTCTTCACATGCATGCGGGAGGCTGCAATGTTGCCTCCTGCCTCTGAGAAGGACTGATTTGTTTTTTCAGATCTGAATCCCTCCCAACTCTCACTTTCCTTGCTTTTTCCAAATTTTGGCCAAGTTCTATTGTGGAGTTTTGTATGCAGTTCAAGCCACTGAGTCACATCTGAAATTAAAATAACTCTATATTCACTCTAATGTAATCCCTAGCTAGTAGTCTTCATTTGAAGAAGCATAATTTAGCATGCCCTTTTTTCACGTAATAGATATCCCCTTGAAATTATATTGAAAATGCAGTCCAGATTTCTGAAAAGCAGTTTACATTGAGTTCAGGTTGGTAGGTTTTTCACAAGCTTGAGAAAGTTCTGCTGTGGTATGCATTTAAAAGTACTTCTGTCTTAGGGTAGTTGATCATCCCTGCTCTGGTCTTGTATGTGAATAGCCTCTGTGCTTGCATCCCAGAGAGCCTAATCTGAAAGTGCTTTCCAAATATAGGCGACATGAAGTACAACAAAACATGACTAGTGTTTGTGCTTGAATATCTATAGACATTTTCTGTATCATTCCTTCTTTGATTGTGGAGAACATGAAGGTGCTCTTGCTTTTGCTGTGCTTATATGAGTTGTACTTGTAAGTAAATCTTTAGGCATCATGGCTTCAAATGGTCTGCTGGAAGCTGGAATTAACTTCAGGACTGTCCTCTCCAGAGAACAGATTGAAATTTTCTGGTAGATCTTGTGGTGGATCTTTGCGCGTAAAGATGCTTACTGCCGTGTAGGTTCAGTATTGGAGGTTGTTATACGGGAGCTATTTGCTCTTGTTTTAAACTATAGATTTGCAGATAGAAATCAGTTTGTCTGGCTAGTAGCTTCAGCTGCAAACATGATACCCTCTAAGTTGGAAATTTGTACTGAATTATTCTCGAACCTTTGAGAAATTTGGAGCTTTGTGCTAATACCCTCCTCCCCTCTGCTGCATTGTCTCACCTTCTGTAACTTTTCTTAGATACTCACTAAGCATGCAAGATTTAAGTATCTGTTTTGAAGGTTTTTGCCAAGGCAGCTTCCAGCAACAGATATTTATTGAGATGAAAAATTTTTCCTTTTAACTTAGAGTAACAGGAAAATGTGAATTGTCCTGTTGCTAAAATTCTTTCTTGGTGCTTATGCTGATTTTATGACCCTAAGTCAAATATCTGCTCTCAAATTCCAAGAATCCTGTATGATTTCTCTTCTGTGGTCCTATGATACTGTGCTGTTTATTTCTGCTGTTCCACAGTTGTTGCCCTTCACTGGGATGGTACAGCAGGGTGTGTGGGAGATATTCTAGCAAATTGGTTTTTGTAGCCTGCAATCATTTTCTGCAGTTTCCCACCTTCCTTTAGAAACATCTGTTGAAGTGTTGTTTTTTTTTTTCCTGGTGATGTAATCTTCTAATGGCTCTGAAGGAATGAGCAGTGAAACTGGAAGAACATAAAGTGAAATAGTATGTAGACAATCATTCTGAATCCCCTACCTCCTGAAGCAAAGGAAATACGAAGTGTGCAGTAGAAGAGGGCAATGCTTTAAAGAATTGAACAGCATTATCCAATGCAAACCTGTTCATTGAGTTTTATTACCTTCCCCAAGCAGTGCATTTGGCCTCTCAAACTACTGTGCAAAAATGGGAGTTTTTGGGTTTTGCATCCTTGGTCTGTCCTGCACAGGTGTGTGCTGTTCAGGTAAGGGGAAGGAATCAATTGAATGAATGAAGAACAGTGTTTCCTAAAAAACTTTTTTTTAAACACAGATTTCTATGCCAGCTACATATGTAAAATGCTGTGACTAGATGTGACTAGATCATTTGAGTTGTCGATTTGTCTTTTTTTTTTTTTTTTTTTTTTTTTTTTTTTTAAAATTTGGAGTCATGCTGAAGCAATGGATTTTTGTTTTGTATGTAAAATCAAACGACATTTGAGTATTTGTTGGTTATTGAACTTTTACCACTCATGTTTTTAGAGGACTTCTACTGTACTAATGAAATATCTGTTTTAAACTAGATTGGCCTTTCTAATGCTGGCCTTGACAGAAAAAAACTATGTTCTTTTGCTATTTCCTGATACTGGAAACCAAAACGCTATATAATGACTGCAGTCTTTTGTTAGTGTCTGGCTGCCTCCAAAGAAAGTAGTTTTAATTAAAGCAGCAATGCTGATCTTGGAGGTGGAGGCAGAAAGTTGGCTTGGTTATCTCACTTCAGACAGCCACAGGAAAGCTTGTGGCAAGATCCACTAATACTTTTATACAACTTCAGTGGGACTAAATGTATTGCAGGGAGAGAGAGGAACCTTAGAGACATCCTGTTTTTCCCCTTATAGAACTGTGCATCTTTGAACGCATCTAGGGACATCACCTCATCCAGTTTTGTCCTCTGAATAGCATCAGCATTTGTTTTGAAGCTGGTGGCTTGGAGCTTTGCCCTGTTGGGTCTTGCATTGAGATTACCCTGAGGACAACTGCATGAGGTTCAATAACGCAAAGCACTGGGTCCTGCACTTGGGGCACAACAACCCCATGCAGCACTACAGGCTGGGGGAAGAGTGGCTTGAGACTTGTTTGTCAGAAAGGGACTTGGGAGTGCTGGTTGACAGCAACTCAATATGAACCAACAGTGTGCACAGATGGCCAAGAAGGCCAATGGCACCTTGGCCTGTATCAAGGACAGTGTGACCAGCAGGACTAGGGAAGTGATCATTGCTCTGTACTTGGCATTGGTGAGGCCACACCTCGACTGCTGTGTTTGGTTTTGGGCCCCTCACTTTAAAAAGGACTTTGCGGCACTGGAGTGAGTCCAGTGAAGGGCAATGAGGCTCATAAAAGGCCTAGAACACATGCCATATGAGGAAAGGCTGAGGGAATTTGGTTTATTTAGCCTTAGAGAAGAGGCAGCTCAGGGGGTGGTCTCATTGCTCTCTACAGCTACCTGAAAGGAGGTTGTAGAGAGGTAGGGGATGATCTCTATTGCCATGCCTGCAGTGAGAGGACTAGAGGAAATGGTCACAAGCTGAGGCAGAGGAGATTCAGATTAGGTGTTAGGAAAACTTTTGTCTCTGGTAGGGTGGTCAGGCACTGGAATAGGTTGCCCAGGGAGGTGGTGGAGTGACCATCCCTGGAAGTGTTTAAGAGGTGTCTGGTTCTGGCAGTGGAGGATATGGTTTAGGGATTACAGCAGAGTGGCAGGTTAGTGGTTGGACTCAATGATCTTAGAGGTCTTCTCCAACCTTGATGATTCTATGATTCTAAACAGCTGGCTCTGTCTCTCCAGTACTGTCTTTCCAGTAATTTATTTTCCCCTCACATCAAGTTGGAAATTCCTTGCTTCAGTTTATGGCCACTGTCTCATTTTTCTGCTGTGCACTTAAAATAAACAGCTTGGCTTCAATGTCTTAGAAAATTACTGGAAAGCTGCTAGTAGATGGCCACTCTGAGTCATAGTCTAGAGGTATCACCGATGGTCTTCATGTAGGCGAGACGTATCAACCTGAGTGATTGTATCTTGTCAAACATCAGGGCTTGATTAGGCTGCAGAGAGCATGTTGCTAGTATGGTAAACTGTACCTGAGCCTAGACAGGTGCAGTAAGCTCCCAAGTTGCCATGCACTTCTCTTCTGGGGTTAGTGGAGGCAGGAAAGTTTTGGACTTTGTCACACATATCAGCACAGTTGTGCTGTGTGTTCCTTGCAATGGGGCTCCAAAGACAAATTCTCTTCTAGCCTTAATGGCTGGGTACTTATTTATTTAAATATTCATAAAGAGATTCAGACCCATCTCTGTTTGGTTAGTATGGTCTCTTTAAGGAAAGTGAAGTGTATTTATGGTAACTTTTATCACTGAACAAATACAACCACAGAGTTTTGTAAGACACAAACAAGGTCAGAATACCTGAGATAGCTGTTCCTGTTATATATAATGTAATAAGATTTACAGATGTATGAATTAGATAATTAGGCACCTGACTTTTTTTAACAGGTATTGCAGTTTAGATTTCTAATTAGCACATACTTCAGTGAAAGAAAAAGTCAATTGTGAATAATTGTGCATAAAACTGTGACACCAGAACGTTTAGAAATCCAAACAAAGTCTTTGACGTAGAAGTTAAAATAGCTGTAAATCTGTTTCATTAAGAAACACTGTGTATGGCTGCTTGTTACATCACTTGGGTGTTTTGGACAGATCAGGTAGTGTACAGAATCACAGATTTTGATGTCTCTTTTTCTCTTTATTAAGTGATACAATATATTGAAGTTAAAGATGATTTATGGAAAGATTGTACATTGAATATAAACTCTCAAAATTACAGCATCTGTTAGTCCACAATTTTGAAAGAAGGTGAAGAGATACTTCAAAATACGCACATCTCTCTACTGTACATTTACCTGTCTTGTGACTCTATTGTCTGGGTTTAATTTGTGGGATTCAACTAGATTCAAGGATGGAAAGCACAGAAGCTTCAACTCAGTTGTGCTGTAGTTCTTACTCTGGACACAAATGTCAGATATGCTGCATTTTGGTAGTCAATCCCACAGAAATTTAACTCCAACTTTCCATATGTATCAACATAAATGGGATAATATGCCAGTTAAAGAGGCTGTAGAAAACATCAGTGAAGCTTTTGGGTCCCTGCATTATGTTCTGTTTCACCCTGAGAAAGCTGTACATGACATTGTCAGTGGTTTTGACCCAAGGAGTATTTTCTGCCATTAACCAAAATAAAAATACAGTATCTCACAATCTTAATTTGTTTGAGTAGCTACATATATAAAGGAGAAACCGGAGGGAAGCACATGGAATGCTCTGTATAACAGTCACACTTTAAAGCAGGCACGAACTAGTAGTATAGCTGGTGTGCTCCATAAAGTGAGATATTGCACCTTCAGGCTGTGTGTTCAGTGGTGGGATTTGCAAGGGCTGTAGTATTACATTTGCAGATCCTTAATGGGCAACTAACCTCTGCTGTTCTTGGGTGTTAAGGTGGCTGTTGTGTGCCTTAAGTAGTGGTGAGCTTCACCTTGACTTCTGTATAACAAGTACTTCATAATTACTAAGTCTTAAAATTCTATTACTTTGTTACTTTTGCAGAAGAAAATACCAACAAAGAAAATGCAAATAGTTTTTGTAAATGCTCAGACTTTTTAAACACACTGAAAATCTCTGTTTTGAGATTGTTTTGTGTGTCGTGTGTGGGTTTTTTGGTGTTTGTGGTTTTTCTGTTGTGTTTTTTATGTTTTGTCTTTTGTCTTTTTTGATGTTTGTAAGAAAAGCAATGAAAAGGTGTATTCATTACAGAATCCAATGCAAATAGTAAAACTTGCTTTTTGGATGTGTGTGTGTTGATTGATGTGATTGAGGTGAGTAAGTGTTTATTTATACTTCAGGACTTGACTTAACTTTTAAAATACAGATTATTCTTTCTGCTTTCATTATTTAAGGGAAGGTTTTAGGTTTTCATCTCAAGAAGCTGCTTCAAGTTTTGGTGATGATCGCTTACTGATAGAAAAGTTCATTGATAACCCTCGCCACATAGAAATCCAGGTTGGTGCTATTCTTGTTCTTACTACTGCTACTAGTAAATATTGTATATTTATTTATTTAATAAGGTTTGAACTCATAAATTAAAGTTCAAAACGTTTCAAACACTCCACTAAAAAAGGCCTAGAGTCTTGTGTTTTCCTGTGTCTTGGGTCATTGCTCAAGCTACATGGCTATCATGCACAATACAGCTTTCCTGTTTTTATTCTCTAGCCTTTCTTTAGCAGGAAGACTGTGAACTGTGCTCAGTTTGTTGGGGGAGGAAAAAAAAAGTTGTAGGCATCTGTCCTGAGGGCTGGAGCTTGAACTCTGGATCCCATTGCAGTGCTTGAGTGCAGCAGAGGATGTAGGAGTTCAAGTATGGCTGTGCTTAATATTTTCTTGTGATGTCTAGGTGGTTTTGTCAGTGTTTTGGATTCTGTCCTGAAGTATCTAATGCTCCTTGGGAATTCAGGAGGATTTGTGCCCCATTTTGGGCAATTTGTCTTTCAGAATCAGGTGTCTTATGCTTAACTTATAGATTGTGACTATTTATGTCTTTTACTAGACTTAGTGTTAGGTCAGATGTGCTAATGCAGAACAAAAATTTCTTTCAGACACTCTTTAATAAAATTATGAGTTCAAAATTGTGTTTGATTGTGCAACTCTATTTTTTGTTGTCAACTAAACTGTTTGTCGATGGCCTTGAGATAATATTTCCTGATATGAGATCTATATGGAACGTGTTCGTTTCCTCAACAGAAATCTCACCACACATAAATTTCATTTATTTTCGTCCAAAATAGAAACCCTTTCTGAGTTGTGGCATGTTATTTTTTTTTAAATAGTGGGAGCCTGAAGTAGCTTGATAACTGAGTGAAGCAATAACAGTAAATTTGATAGTGTGGAATGATTTGTCAGAGAGAAATATTTAACATGTTTTACTCTCTCAGATATGTGCTTACAACCTCACACTTGCCATGTTTTGATTTATTTTATGTACACAAGCTAATTTATTGCATATCATAGGATAGTTTGGGCTGGAAGGGACCATTAAAGTTCATCTAGCCCAACACCCCTGCAATAAGTGGGGAAATCTTCAACTAGGCCAGGTTGCTCAGACCCGTGTCCAGCCTGACCTTCAGTGTTCCCAGGGATGGAACATCTGCAGCATCTCTGGGCAACCTGTTCCAGTGTTTCACCACTCTCACAGTAAAAACTTTTCTTATTTAGATCTAGTCTAAATCTATTATCTTGTAGTTTAAAGCCACTGCCCTTTGTCCTGTCACTACAGGATGTGCTAAAAAGTTTGTCTCCATCTTTCTTATGAGTTCCCTCTGTGTACTGAAAGGCTACAAGGCTGCACTTGGCTCTCACCAGAGCCTTCTGCACTCCAGTCTGAACAACTCCAACTCTCTCTGTCCTCATAGGAGAGGTGTTCAGTCCCTCTGGTCACTTTTGTGGCCTTCCTCTGAACCTGCTCCAGCAGGTCCATGTCTTTCCTGTAATGAGGACTCCATCACTGGATGTATCACTCCAGGTGGAGTCTTACCAGAGCAGAGTAGAGGGGTAAAAGTGAAGAAGAAACAGTGAAATGAAGTCTGTAAATAATGAAACAGCAAAATGAAGAAATAATGTAAAATTTAAACCCCACTTTATTCTCTTTTAAAGGGTCCTGGAAAGGCATATAGTGGACTCTTAGTTTTGGCATTGATCTTAGGGTGCAAAAGAGGTCAGTTTGCTGGAGCATCTTTCTGTATTCTCTTGCTGTGGCCAGTAACTTTTGGCTACCTGTGTATTGTTTTTTCTTCTTTCTGTATGCAAATCAGTACACCTTAGAGATCTGTTTCTTTAAGGGCTTGCAGCTTTGGGAACTTCAGCAGGTTCTTACTGATTCTTCAGTGGATTCCTCCATACTTTCCTGAGTTGGGGACAGATTTTTTATTGTCTTGATTCCTTTGGGTTTAAAAGAAGTCATCTCAAAAAAATTAGGTAGCACTGTATTTAAGAACTGTTGAGTAATTTCACTTAGGTTAAACAAAATACCTTTGCTATTAATAATTTATAGTTTTATTTATAACAAGTGTACAATGAATGCTGTTTTCCTTACACAAACACTTTGATGGTACCTTTTAACAATATCATAGTGTATCATTTTAACTTCATGTTCTAATCAGCTTTAGGACGTTGACCTTGGTTCATTTTCAAACTGCTGAACATACAAACAATTTGAGACCAGATGCCAAATATTTATTAATTTAGCAGTAACTTTTAAATAGAACTTTTTTTTAGCATTCTCATATTGCTCCAAAGCATTGGTACTTAAAATTGTTAAATAAGGAGTTTCCTGTGTCTAGCTGTAAAACAATCACTTTGTAAAACATGAGAAAAGGCTGAAACAATTAACAGGAAAATCGAGTCCAAATAGACTTTATGCTTGAAGTGATTTGAAGTCTTGTTCTCCTGATATAAAGGACCTGAGTTTAAAGTAAGAGTACATGGAGTGTCTATTAGTTGGCTAAATAACAGTCCTACAAATGGAAATAGAATTTAGCTGAATCATGGAGAAGAAGTTGTGCCTCATAATATTTAGCTATTTTGGCATACACTCATGGCATAATCATCTAATCCCACGAAGCAGGACGTATTCTACCAGGAATATTTAGATATGTTAAAAAAACCCAAACAAGCTGTAGCTCTGCTTTGCATTTTTAGTGAGAATGTGTACTGGAATCTCATGTCATCTCTAAGATTATGATTTCAGTACTCTGCAAATGTCTTCTGAAATGCAAAGCTACCAAAATTTAGTAGGATATGAGACATGTCCTGAAGTAAAAGAAATAAATTTAGTAGTTGGATTGAAAAATTGTATCTTCTTTTCAGAAAAATACAGAGAAAGGGAGAGATTGAGAGAGGCACAGGAGCTAATTTTTATTGAAATATTGCAGGACTTTTTTGTTTGTTTGTTTTGGTGAGGTCAAATTCTGTGGAAAGTTGTAGGTTTTCTAACACTGAAACAGAAGGACTTACAAGGAATATTTTGACTCACAGGACAGTGATTTTTCCATTATGTGCTACACTATGCTCTAGAGGTACTATTTTAATATTAAAAAAAAGACCAAAACAAAGCAGAACAAAACAACCATTGGACCTCCTGAATGAGCTTATGTGGAGCTCTGTGATACTGTAGAACTCCACTCATCTGGATTGAATGGGTGAGGACCTGGGTAGGAAGTACCTGGGCATTTTTTTTTCATTGTGGGTGTGTTGTGGTGTTTTCCTTTGTGCTGAGTTGCCTGTTAGGGAATCCAGCAGTTGGCCGGAGCACCCTGGTGCTACTGCTGCTAAACCTCCCCGTGGGATATGCTGTAGTCTAGGAAGTCCAGAGACTGTCAGTCTTCTAGACTTCTTTGGAGTGGCGCTTTTCTTTTTCTCCCAAGAAAGCTCCATAAATTTATAGGAGCACAACAGTATTTCTGAGGAAAAGATACATCTGATCCTAAAGGGCATGGAGCACCCTGGCTCTGGTGCTGCACAGTGCACATGAGTTGTCTTCATGAGTTCCATGCCTCGTTTTCAGTCACATCTACCCAGATTATTCACGCCTCAGCAACCATTGGTGTCATAGATGCAGGAATTCATCTTGCCTAGTCCCATACTTGCTCTGTGGTGCTAAAAGGAATAATAAATAATACAGATTTGTTGTCACAAATGTGAGTAGATATGGTTGAGTTCACACAGTTTGAGGAAGATTGTCTCCTTGTTTTGTCTTGTCGGTTTTCAGTGTAGAACTGCACTATTAAAGAATGAAGCATGAATATTGGCATGGGTTCCCGCAGATAAGTGCAGAAGGATAGATGGAAAAAGAATGGGTTACAGGGAAAATTTTATAAGGAAGAAAGGGAGCAGGTGTAGTCTGCAATGAAAGAAATTGTTCCAAGAATAAGTGTAGAGTCTAACATCATAGGATGGGAAGAAGGCTGCTTGAATCCTCAAATCCAGTATCTGGATATTGGAAATGGCTGCACCATACAGTCAATTTCATAAAGGAACACAGTTCCTTTTCTTACTTTTCCCTCTAGTCTGAAGTTGCTGAATCAATGGAGAGTTCTGCTGTGCTGAACTTGTGTAATTTTTTTCCAGTGTGTGATTTAGGTAGTTGGATCTAGACACTTGATTCTGTCCTTGCTCTTCTGTGAACTGAAGCTGCAGCCAAGAACTGGAGTTGACACTTGATATATAAAAAAATAAATTCATTGAACCTACTGCTTCAGTTTCCATTGAAAATACTGAGGAAGTTGCAAATTTTATTCCCCTTAATAATAAGATAGCAAAGTTTGTGATTTTTTTCATTATAGACAGGGCACTGTGTTTTGCCTATTAGGAAAGTTCCATTAGCCATCATTTCTGAAAATTGTGTGTAATTCAGGAGCAAAATTTGGCATCCTTTGAGATTTTTCTCTTCTTTGTTGGCACAAGATTTTGATTAACAGTATGCTTTTGAGTAATTTCATAATGCAATACAACTTAAAATGCACAAAAAAGTATTTATCTTATTTCAGTCTTTGATAAGAAGCTTCCTGAAGTTCAGAAATCAGATTTTGAATGAGTGGTTTTCTGCCATGCAGAGCCTCTGTTATGGAGGCTTTAGAATAATCCTAGTCAGAATTGGAAGGAGTGTTTAGTTAGCATTTAATATACAATTAATTTTCTACATTAGCATTTTTTCCTAACCTTTCTTTTTTGATTGGGAGAAAAGTTAAACTAAATGCTGCATCATAGTATAATGTCAAAAGACCATATGCATGCCTCTGTTAATAGCAGTGTGTTATTTTTTCAGGTTTTGGCAGATAAACATGGTAATGCCTTGTGGTTGAATGAAAGAGAATGCTCCATTCAAAGGAGAAACCAAAAAGTTGTGGAGGAAGCACCAAGGTATGTATTCTGCTTGCAGCTTCATAGTTACTGAAAGCACTTGTGGAAAGCTGCTGATTCTATTACTTATACAAATGCAAGCAAATTTTATTCTGTTAAAAGCCACAAAGAAAATAAATAAATGTTTGTTATAGTCATTTGACTTTAATGGAATTTTGATGTACTTGAGGGTGTTTTGATTTTTCTTTACAATGTCTTTGTGTAACAAAACAGGTGTTGTGTCGTTAATATTTTTCATGGTCTTGTATAAAATGGATATTACTAAATATATGTGATATGAGATGGGTTTTTAAATATATCCAATATATTTTCTTTGATATTTGCTTTTAAATAAAAAAGTAAAATAAAATATGGAATAAGTATGAATTTTACCACGGATACAGATATTTGACTGTATTGTAGTAATGGTAGGAGGGCTACATAATACTGTATATTTCTATATGAAATGGAATGCAAAGTACTAAATACCCTGCACCAGTTTTAGTACCATTCATGGTAATGAACTAGAGATGTAGGTGTCCAGTAACCCAAAAGTGTTAAGTGATCTTAATCTTGTTGGTTTCAAGTGAAACTAAAATACCTTGCTGCTGTGCAAGGTATGGTCTTACTGTGTTTGCTGTTGCATGGCATTCATCAGAGAATGTGTATGAAAAGGGCAGAACAGTTTTGATTTCAGAGAGCCAGACATGGGTATGTCACTGCCTGCGGGAATTCCCAGTGTAATACGTTCATTAGCTGAGATGGGTTTTCCATATCTTTTTAAAGCACAGAACTATGTGATGCAACAATTTGGGATGTGAGGAAAAGCACATTATCCAAATGATGATTAGTTAGAGGTGGTATATTAGTTAATGTTGGATCATAATTGTGGGTCTGGCACTGTTTGGACCTAGATTTTAAATTAAAAAGCAAGGGTTAAAGATACAAATCTTCTAATAAATGCTTAAATAGCTCTAGTTGCTTTCTGATGGTGATTGTGAATTTCTTGGAAGTTTTATGCTGTTTATGCCTGAAGATCTCACTGTTTTTTTGTGAAATGTGAATACAGGTCCTGATATAATGTGCATGTGCATATGAGTATATGTATGCACATAAAAGAGGAGAGTCTTTTGCTTCAAGAGTACATGTAAGGTGCTGCCTGTCACTACTGCCTGCTCATTCTCCATGCCTGTGGTCAATTAAAGGGGGTGATATGTCTTTCTCTCACCAGCCAGCTGTGATCAGAGTGTTTTCTTTCAGCAGAAATATCAGCCTTTTAACTTTCTCGGGCTTCTCTGTTGGAGTTGCCAATGAGTTTTCTCATCCCCTCATATAACTCTACAAAAGAGTGTGGACAAGTCAATAGCTTCCAAAATTTGGCGTGAAAACTCTTCTTCCTTTTTTGTTGTTGAATGTTTTAGACTCTGCCAGACTTGTGTTGACAGCTTTGGAAGCCTTATCTGCCTTACAGCCACTTGCAGTTGGCTGCAGATTCCATTTATTTTCAAAGGATTGCAAGACTTGCAGATAAGTAGGGCACTAACTTCTTTGAGACACCATAGAGACCCTAAAGCCTGAGGTTAACCCTTCCTGTGAATGCTGTTTCTGTTAGTCTGATGGATTAATAACTCCAGGAAACACCTCTTCTTGTATGGCTGGGTGGAGGAACTACTGTCCTTTTTTCCTCCTGTTTTAAATGATAGCTGCTACTAAGCTCTTAGATAGGTCAAAGGTTTTTCCTTTTCTTTCATGAAGCCCAGGAATGCTATGGGCTAAAATATTTATTTTATCTTTTGTACAATTTAGGGCTTTTGTCATTGGCCTTTTCTCAAGCCTTTTTTTATTTACTCTATGTCTAATGTTGGCATTTTCCTAAGTGTCTGATTTAAGAGACTGAGGGCCTTTGGCTTTGAGAGTAATCTATGATTTTCTTAAAGCTAAGCCTGTGGCTGTTGAACTTATTCTTATGGGATCATTTTGTTTGAATCTCCAGTTTTCCTAGGGAAGTTCAGTCTTTTGTTAAAAACAAACAAACATCTCTCTTTTGAGGAGAGAAACCCCTTTAGTTCACACACTGATGAGGTTACAATATTCAAGGGACCCCTGGTGATCATGGTTGTCAATCCCCCCAGATTCAATCCCCCAAGAAACTTTGCTTATACTCTTTGAACGTGATCAGTTGTCCTACTCCATTCTGAGAAGTGCAGACAATAAGACACATCCAGTCTTAGCTGGTTTTTTAGTTTGTGCTGGGCAAAGTTAGTGCTGCACAAAGCTTCCACTGATGTACCGTTTCACACGTTTTTGCATATGGTGTTGTCTTCTCATTTCACCACAGAGGCTGACATTTAAGGAGATAAGTAACATCTAATTATCAAAAATAGTTTTTGTTTCTTCACTCCCCAAACTCTATCCATTGTCAGAGACAGTTGCTATGAGACAGTGTACTTCAGCAAGAAAATATGCAAGGGTGTGGTTGTATTTTCCTGTCTGCTAGACTGATTTATAAGAGATGTTGTTTCCCATGTAGAGAAACAATGTCTATAAGCTTATAAAAAAATCCATTGATGCCTTAGGATCAATGGAACGTAAATATGCAAGAGTATTAACTGACATCCTATTCAATAACTGGAGCTCAAAGTAGTGCTTGAAAACTTCACTTTGGATGAGAGCATGTGTCCTATCTAACCATTGCCAAGCCTATTAGAAACTTCTTAAAATACTTTAAATTTGCCTCACTACTTGAGTGCAGGGATGCTCTCTTTTCAGAGGCACTTGGCAATTGGTACTATTTGATGCCCAAAGTTAAGATTTTTGGAATGTTGCTATGGAAAAGTGCCACACAAAGACTCTTCGACTCACCTTGATCCACCCACCACTGTCCTTTGCTGTAGCATCTGAAGAGATTAAAATTTTGATCCTCCATGCGATACCACTTAGAATCATAGAACAATTTAGGTTGGAAAAGATCCTTAGGATTGTTGAGTTGAACTGCAAACATAGCACTGCCAAGTGCCCCACTAAACTTGCTAGCTGCCTGCTTGCTTTCCTTTGGTATGTCTACTTTTCTGTGGTGATTCCATTTCCCTTAGGGTAAACCTTAGCATCCAAGATTTTCAGAATAAGGTGATTTTAGGACAGTCTCCCAGATGTTAGTTTTGTTGTGTTTTTTAAATTGAAAGATGTTCAAAGGACTAAAATGTATGTTACTATTTCTGCCTGTGACAGAAAGATCTAAGAGGCAGAAGATTTAAAAGGGAGGCTATTTTATCACTAAGGGATTGCATGAGAATGCAAGCAAAACAGTTAAACCAATTTTTGTGACCTTTTCTGTATGCACTATTGTTGACTTCTCTCAGGAAGATTCCTGTCCTTGGCAGTGTCAGGGCAGTGACTTTCTCTAGGCACTAAACTCACTCTGAAAGATCTCAATAGGATGTTAAGTACTTCAGGATCATATTCCAGATTAGCTGCCAAAGTTCTACTTGAAGCCATTGACATTTGAATGAATGTATATGGGCAGAAACTTAACAGAAAGGTGTATTGTTAAGTCAGACTCTATGTACAAGTTCTCTTTAGGGTTGTGCTGCATGTAGGTATATCAGACTCTACATTTCCTACCACCCTGTCTAGAAATCCTTGAAGGATTTTGGGTTAAGAGAAACTGTTCTGTTTGTGACTGTACATGATTTATAGGTAGGCACTGTTTAGATGTGGGGCAAAGCTGTATTCTGAAATGCTTTAGGATATTTATGCTCATGGTCTGGTAGTACATAATAAGTATCTCAAAGGAGAATTGTTTTTTATAGGTAAGTCATTTTATTTTAAACAGGCAGTATACCTAACTATTTCCTAGGAGCAGGAAAGCTGACCTTGGCATTTAGAAAATGAAGGTGCACTCCACTCTCCCAGTGTGGTGGAATCTTCAGAGAAAGCGTAAATGTTGCTGATTTATTTTTTGTCTAAACTGTGGCAAATTTAACTGATGGTGTAACTGGGTATTTTTCAAAATCTCAACCTTGTCTGTTAGTGAAGGTAATAGAGTTACATTGGGAAATATTATCTCATGAACTACAAATGGAGAGGTAACATCTTGCCTATGTGGTTCATCTCTCTGGCTGTAGAAACAATGTCACAAATCAATTGTATTGCATTTGATCAACTTTACAATAGCCTGACAAAGGTCTTACGAGTGAAGTGCCAGGTCTGATCTTATTTTTTCTTTTCAATGCTTTTCTCTTGTGAATCCTTTTTATTTTGTAGCCTTCATGCTGCCATAGGAGCTGTTTGGTTGAAAGAAAAACAGGTGTATCTGTGAGAACAATATTTGAAGTCAGGTTTAAAATGCTCTGTTTTCAAGTGATGCCTGATTAGATTGGAGAAGAGTTGTTTTGGTTGTGAAAGGTACATTGTTAAAAAAGGGAGAAGCAATGTATAGGAAAGGTAAAGCAGCGGAGGGGAGTAGCTGATGGCAGGGTTGATCCAGTCATTTTTAGAGCATAAAGCTTAGCCATGTGGCAAGATCAAGTTTAGCAACATGACACCTCTATTCCATTCTTTGGCTGCAGCAGGAGGTGAACAGTGAGATCTCAGACCTACATTTAACAGGTATAGGGAAGACACCACTGTAATAAAGGGGAGTCAGTGTCTTTTGTCTGTATGAGAAGTAATACTGGTTCTAGAAAAAGAGTATGAAGCTGATATTGAGAAAGTTCTGTTCTTCTTAAGCCACTCATTGACCTTTCAGCCCTGCAGAAACTTCCCTTTGCATTATGGATTGTTTATTTCATGTAAAGTGTTGTCATCTTATTGAATCAAAATAAGAAATATTATGGAACTTATATTAGTGCCTGTTCTTGATAGGTATGCCACAGTTTTGACATCATCTGATATTCCCTTTCATCAGATAGTTTTCTTGGAATCAGACTTGATTTTCTTTTCCTGTTGGTCCCATTGTTTGCCAAGAAAGAAATATTTTCCTAAATTCTGGAAATGTCTGCCTGTGTGGTCAGGAGTAGGACAGAGCTGTGAAGTAGCACTTTTCCAGTAAAGAAGAGTCTGCCTAGGTATTTGTTCACTTCTTGTGTCATTGTCAGATAAGGTTTGTTGTGGCAGGAGTCTCTTGCTCTTTTGTGACTTCAGGTCTCGGTAAAAAGCATCAGAGTAAGTACTGAAAGGTAAGTCCTGACCCAGCATTGGCTTCTGTCTGGGTGTAGTCCTTGGCCCCAGATGGAATTTCATTTCAGTCTTTGGGGCCACTTCTTGGATAGGTGGAGGCTCCTGATTGCTCCTTTGCAGAATTAGGGCCCACTGAAGCCATCTCAAGAAATATGTAACATTTGGTATTTTAGTTTTAATCAGCAAATTAGAAGTAAAGTATAAGTGACTTTCTATTCCCTTACAAAAATATTTTTAAAATTAGAGCTGAGTTATGTGCCTAATGTCACAACAGAAATATAATAAGTGTATTTATAACTTCTGTAAAATGAGCAGTCACATGTTGTCGTTCATTGAAGATCAGTGGATCGAGTTGAGGGGCAACTGATTTCACAGCTCTGATGGAATGCATAGAAATACATCGGGGTCTAACTAGCAGTCTGCATAGGTTAAACTAGATCTGAATTTACAGTACAGAGGAGAGTAACAAGCAGAATATGCATCTTCCAGAGTCTTTCAAATTGCTGGGCCAGTGGAAGTGGCGTGGTGCTCTCCTGGAATGAGAAAGCTTGGCATTTGAGCAGTGTTTGTAGTGGCTCCCAAGGTGGTAGCTGAGCTGCTGTTTGGGTGCCCTTGAGTGTGTCCAGGATTTGTGAAAAAGAATCAAGTGCAATTAACATGGATAACTAATCTTTAGCTTACAGGTAAAGCTAAAACAGGGAATAGAGGATATGAAGGCTCAAGTCATGATAGTGTTGACAGTGTTTTAGTTAAGTACTGTGAATGTTCAACTTCTCTTTATTGCAATCTCACATAAGAAGCATGAATAAATACTTCATTAATTTCCAAAACTACTTTATTGCATCAAATATCAATGAATTCACTACACTGTTTCAATTCAGACCTAGAAAAATTCCCCTTAGATATCCTGTCTTTTATTTTGGCATTCACATTTCTGTTGGATGGATTTGTTAATTACAGGTTTTTGCAAATAGATAATGTCTTCTAAAAATAGCATGTATTTGTGGTATTTTGATTAATTTGCATTATTATAGATATCAGTGTTCTAAGAGAGTTGTGTTCTCTTAGTTTATATTTTAGAGAATATGTTTATTTGTCCTGAATTTCCTATACATTAGCAGTAATTGTAAAGCATACACTGTATCTGCTTAGGGGTAATATAAATGAAAAGAATCTTGGCATGTTTTCGTAACTTACATAATGATGCTGTCCTCTTTTGACCGTAGTTTAAGCAGAAGATGAAATGTTTGGATAATAATTGTCTTTTTTATAACTAAAGAAAGGCATTGTTTCTGTATTGTAGCACTTTTCTAGACCCTGAAACTCGAAAAGCAATGGGAGAACAAGCAGTAGCTCTTGCTAGAGCAGTACAGTATTCCTCTGCTGGAACAGTAGAATTCCTTGTGGACTCCAGTAAGAATTTCTACTTCTTGGAAATGAATACTAGACTTCAGGTAAGAAAAACAAGTCTTCAGATTCAGAAAAGTGTTATTTAAAAAAACAGAACATTACCTCCTCCCATACTTAGGGGTTTGCTCCTGTAAAGGCTTAAACATAAGTAACTTGATGCATGTGAGCACTTCCCACTGAACTTAAAAGATGTACTCACTCAAGTGAGCCTGAGTGTCCCAGACTTTGCAGCAGTAAGCCCTTGCACAGCACTCAAGTAAGTGTTTGGAGCTTTTGCTCTTTGTTACACTTGACCTAAAGACCTTGCAAGAGGTCACTGCTGAGTGCCACTGTGTGTTCACAGTAAGTGACTATCCACTATGCTCTGAGGCTTCTCCCCACTGGTCCCTGAGGTTTGTTTCTTAATGTTTTATACTTTGATGATGGCTTGCTGAATTTCTCTAGCAGGGTGATTAAAACTATATGTGTATATCAGGAATAAAGCTGCTAGCAGACTGCATTTGATTGAAATTGTGACTGGAATGCAACTGTAAAACGCATTCTGACACTGTGTAGGATTTTGATAACTTGTGTAGTCAGTAGTAGCTGTTGTAATGTACACTGCAAATGAATGAACAAAGTGTTTTATGGAAAACCCCCTCTACTTATTTGACTGTTATGATACACTTCTGGTTATAAGTTAAGAAAACAGGCACATAACTTGAAGAGTGTTCAACTTGCAAGCAAGTCCATTCCATTGTCTTTATCCTCCTTTTCTCACTTTGTTAAATAACACCAGAAAGAGTAGAAAGTGGAATCAAGGAGCAATTTGAGTAGCTTCTTAGTCTGTTTTGGCTACATTTCATTAGGGCTGTGTCCTGCATGCTGCTTGTTCATGTGGGCAGTGTTAGAGGATAAAGAGATCCTCACAATTTTGAAATCTTTGCATGATTTCATGTGATGGCTGGGTAAATTTATGCTTTAGGTAAATTCATGCTTTGGGTAAAGAAGCTAGAGTGAATTTGGGGGTGTTGCAATCTTCTGTGCTGGGGAAAACTGCTGGTAAAATTGGTCTTGCCTTGCAGGACAGCAATTAGTCGTGACAGTCACTTCACATACCTTTGCTAGGAGTTTGCTAGGTGCTACCAGGTCTACTTTAGGTTCAGTTAGAGGGTGGTGGTTAATGGCAATGTGTAGTTCATGAAAATATTATGAAGAGTTCTATCTTTTTGGGAAAAGTGTAAATAGTATGACCAATCTTGTAGTTTTTGAGCCAACTTGTTTTAGTGACTCCATGTTCTTGTTTACATAGTAGGAAATTTATGGTTAGAACTTCATCAGGTGTCAGAAATTCAAAATCATTTCCTTGCTGTAGTATATTATTACCCATTAATTCCTAAATGGAATTAGTGATAGAATATCCTTGGACTCCTTTTGGTGATTTCTTTTAAAGATGTTATCTTTGCTGTCCTGTGCCTGCCGTGCCCAGTGGTAAATGTTTGAAGTCCCAAACCTCTAACTTGCCTAACTGTAGAGGTCTCCAGATAAATAGCAAGAAAACTTTCATAATTCCATCTTTAAGGACTTTAAAGACTCCTTTTGAAATATAGCCTAACTTACAGCAAACTCATATAGTAAACATATATATAATAGCAAACTCACACTTTCCAACTCTTAAAGAAATATACTAATCTTAAGTGAGAGCACTTGTTTAGATATTCTCTAATTCCTCTACCCTGTATTGTCTCTAATTAGCATTTCAGCCTGAGTCTGGAGAGTAGTAATTTTCTTTCCCCCCCCCCCCCCCCCATCTTACCTGATTGATCTGTCACTTCTCCCAGGTCTCAAGCTTTACTTTCTGTTCAGCTAACAGTTATGCAACTAACATATTGTACTTGCTCCCTTCCATCAAGAGGTAAACATGGAAATTCTAATGAAGCTTGTCCAGATTTAACCTCAGAACCAGGATAGTCTCCAGATGTCCCTGTATGGCTTCAGTCTTTTTTCCTTTCATAGCTACTAACTGTGAACTCTTAACTTGCCTTGTTTTTGCTGAACACTCCACAGCTGGAAGAGCTTTCTGAAATGATGAGTGTCTGATCCATAAATGATGCTCCTAATGTGTTTGTCAGTGTGATTTAGACACAGCTACCTGTCAGCATCATCAGGACATGTTCACTAAGTGATGCATTTTGCTGTGTCTGTTTTAACGTTTCAGCAATCTCTGATCAGATAACTGTGGCATTTTTACTTTAGACACAGACTTCAAAATATACTTGCTAACTAAACTGTGTCCAGTACTTTGCACTGCCTGCTGACTTCTCTCTCTGGTGTATCTGTCAGATTCCTTTCAGTGTTTCTGGCAAATTATTTTGCAGTAATCAAGAGTTGTATTGTTACTTGGCTGTCTTGTTGGGGAACTCGTTGGGAATATACCTTTTCTGTTATATAGTCATACAAAAAGAAGTATAAATAGCACCTTGCAGGAAGTTTATATTTTATTTAATTTTTGTGTTAAGTGTTGCTGCAACACTATACGAGATTGGAAAGCGAAACAATCTGGTGAATCAGCTCCATTGTGTCTTTTGTATGCTACACAAATTTGTTACAGATGTTTTACTCCCTCCAAGTGATTCAGCTAGAATGACTGATTCTTTGCTGTTGGCAATGTTCTTTTTGTTGCATCTGCTTTTCTGCCATCTTTCAGAGGCTAGCTGATGAGTATGAGATGTAAGACTGGGTAATGGCATAGCAAAACTAGTTATTCTTACTTTCCACAAGAAAAAGTAGAGATGTCTGCTCTAGCAGCTACAGGAAATCTTCTGTACGCTGACATTTAGGGCACTTTTGGAGTGCTTTTCAGGCAACTGCTGCTGTTAAAATTGAGGTGGACCAGATGTTGAGTATCTGATTCTTTATAGCTGCTCATGCTGTGGTGTGTTTTGTGTTACTTAGTTGTCATCAGCCTAATCAAGGGCAGTCATAGCCCAAAACAACTAAACAAGTGCTTTGCAATAAATAAAAAGTTTCTGACTCCTTAGATTGATAGCCTTTCTAGCCTCCACGTTGTGTCCATATCTCTTCATGTTGCCATCAGAAGTGTTGGCTTTCACCAGAAGAGCATCTAATGCTGGTAGAATTAGATGTTCCTCTTTGACTTCACAGGAAGAAAGTCTGTGGTCTGTACTCAAAGAGTATCTGTTTATATATATATGGGTGTGTGGTGTGGCTGTGCTTCTTAGATGTGAATCAGTCAGTGACAACAAAGGGAAAAAAATCCCATATTCTAGCTGTTTGTAGTACCTTGAAATGAGAATCATCCCTCACCAGCTAGAGAGAAACTGAGAAATGTACAACGAGCAATGTGAAGAGCACTTAGTCTGAATACAGTTTGTATGTTTGTGTCCAGGTCTGTTCCCAACCTTCTGCCTCCCTCACGAGTTGTGCGATTTAAATCACAAGTGAGTATCCCCTTCCTCCAAAAAACTTGACCACATTTACTTAATATGATTGAAAAGATCGTTTGTGTAGACTGGAGTTGAGAAATATGGTAATTTGAGTAGCAGTGTGTTTTCATGTGACAGTTTCAATATTTTTATCATAACTTTTTAGGGTATAAAAGTTAATTCTGTGGAATAAACTGATGTGTTTGTAAGAGTTGTATTGAAAGCAAATGGCACATATATGTTTTTATTTTACAGTTAATTACAGTGAGTGTATTTATTTTATGTAAATATTTTCAAGTTCTTTCAAAGTAACTTGATTCTAAGGCATAAACAAATGTAAGTAATCTTCCATACACCCCTAAAACATTACCCAGTGTTAAGAGTTTTATTTATCACATTTAGGGTTTTCATCAGGTTTTACTGACCCCTGGAAAATTATATATTCCAGAGCTTTATATTTGTACAAACTGTGCTTAGTGTAAAAGATGGAAAGAATTTTTACATGCAGCATGTCACTTTCTACCTCCTGTTTGTCCACTCATGAAAGTATAGAAAGCATGGTTGGGAAATGTCTAAAAGGAGGTAGAAATCCTGTTGCTGATTGTTTGAAGCTCTGATGCTTACAAACTCCTGGTTCTAACAGCCTCTTAATGGTAGCTGTATTCTGTTGCACATTGAGTCAGCACCTGCTATGTTTGCTCAGTGAAGGAGAGAAGTGCTGAAAAATATTGCAGCTGCACTATATAAACAGTTGCAGCAAAATACAAATAGCAAAGTGATGAGCTGAGTCTGAATTGCCAGCTAAAACCACAGAGAGGTGGTGACTTTGGGATCCATAGCAGACCCATGGGACACCAAGCAGTGGTTTTGCTGTCTCAGTGTGTGTAGCTGCCTGGAGGGATGAATCCCTCTGATAGGTGGGTAGGAACATGGGAGCAGTGAAAGGGGCTGTTAGGATTTAGAGAAGTAGATTTTTACAAAATCTGAATTGCAGGATTTCAAAGTAAAGTTTCAAGCAACTGTTGCTGCTGTTTTCTGAGACTCTTCATATTTCTTATTACTGGAATCTTGTTTTACTGTGACACTTTGCTTCAGTCATTTTAAATAGGCTAACGAACAGTGTCAGATGGTAAAGACTTTCAATTGCTGCTAACCTGGACTGAATTTGAACTACTGACCTGAAGGTGAAAGGTCTCTTATCCCATTACCAATCCCCTAAGCCCACCAGAATCCATTCTGCACACAGTTTATACCAGCTGTTCATGGCCATTTTTAGAACCCAAAGAAAAGGTGATTTTGCTGCCAAACAACACTTCTTCACACAAGAGGGTCAGCCGACAACAGTTAACCAGATTTTTGCCACATTCTTGCCTCCTAATGCAACTTCCATTATGTAGCTACTGGTTGTCTGCTTTTCAGGCTTCCCAAAAGAACTACAGAAAAGCATTGCTAATTGTTGTTGACAGAAGAGAACAACATTGTTTGTGTAAGTCACTGAATCTGAAAGATGCCATTAACAGTGCTGCCAGGGCATGGAGTGATATCTTAGAGACAAAGTTACCATGTAACTATCATAAAATACTATGAAAAAAAGTAGAGAAAGAGGAGACTCCCTTCTA